AGAAAGAGGGTGTGTGTGTGTGTGTTTGCGTGTGTGTGTGTGTGTGTGTGTGTGTGTGTGTGTGTGTGTGTGTGTGTGTGTGTGTGTGCGTGCGTGCGTCGTGTGACTATGGGTGACTAAACTAAGGCGCACACACGCGCGCACAGATTCCACTATAATTCTAGAAGCTTCTCTGACCAACTCATAATAAACTCAGATATATCCCTCAAAAATTCCGAACTCGGGAAATTTACCACCGGCTCATGCACTCTCACTGCATCAGCTTATATTACATACACCTCCGGGCAAAAATCAAGAAGGCTTATTACTAAGCGATCGGTAACTTACTACTCACATAACAGGCGCTCGTGATAATTCAGTCTCCGTACTGACAGCCTTAGAGCTACTAGATAGCTAGAATCGCTTTCGAAAACAGAGCGCGAACCGCGTGCGCTTCTTCTGCGTGAATGCGTTCGTCTATCCACGCCTTTCATTTGCTCGCGTGTTTAATCCGCGACCTTCGCGTGCGAAAAGTGTGGAACAAGTAAATATGAATCGCTGGACATCGCGTGCCCCCACATTGCCCCCGCTCTCCCTCTCCCCCTGTCCTTCTCCTTCTCCCTCTCCCTCCCCTTCTCCACCACGTCGCTATATATAAACGTACACTATCCGACAACAGCTTAGGGAGCAGTGTAACCACTGTGATTAATATATTATATTATAAGGGATTAATTAACCAATCCCAACACTATCGGATCTACTGCCACTATATTTCCATCGATCTGACAGCAGCCGTTTCCAATGTTTACAAAACGCTTAAAGAGTCAACAGGCCACGTTAGAGCAAGGTTAACGACGGACGTACGTGAACGCCTGCGGGTCTAACGATAAGGCATCACCCGTCATATCAGCAAGGTCCTTCACCAAGGACAGACACGATTGATGTAGTCGGTTGAGTGGAATACTCTAGCTGTTATACATCTAGTATCCATCGTAGTACTACTGCTGCTGCTGCTGGTGGTGGTGGTGGTGGTGGTGGTGGTGCTGCTGCTGGTGCTGCTGCTGCTACTGCTGCTGCTTCTGCTGCTGCTGCTTCTGCTGCTGCTGCTGCTGCTGCTGCTGCTGCTACTGCTGCTGCTGCTACTACTACTGCTGCTACCACCACCCCCGCCACTACTACTAATAATAATAAAATAATAATAATAATAACAACAACAATCACAACAACAACAACTACAATGACAATAATGAGTCCGATACCTGATATCGTCGTTCCGTCATAGTTGTAGAGCGTCAGTGGCGTCGTTGATGGCGTCGTCGTCGGCGGCACCGTCGGCACCAGCGTCACGCCCGTGTGGTTCATGAGGCCTGCCGACGACGTGAGATTAGCATTAGGATTAGGATTAAGATGAAGGAAATCATCGATAGAGATACGCATCACATTTGACTAAGATCGAAATAAGGATTAGGATAAAAACATCACACACGCACCACATTCGATTTGAATCGGGATTACGATTAAAATGAAAACATCATGGATTATATTCGATTAGGAATAGAATTGATACGAAATCGACCCGATGTCGACATATAGGAGTAATATAGGCTATAATTAAACTAATATCGTATAAAATAATTAACAATAATTATTCGTTAATTAGCTATTAGTTTTACACATCGTAATAGTTATAGTCAGTATATATGTAATGTTAGGATTGGTATTATAGTATTAGCGTATTATGGTTTATTGGGTATATATGGTCATTGGTATTATGGTATTAGCGTTCGGAGTAGGTTAGCATCGTATCGATTTTGTTCGATGATCCATGCAAACTGTTGACACTTGAGTGATGGGGTGACCCTGACTTAATGAAATACCCATGGTGAGGTAGAGGACGATGTGTGAACCAATGTTATGATCGAGAGACCGCTTTAATTTCGCGAACACATCTGTTACACGCCATTATATGGCCTCAAGCGACTGCATACGGCTTGAAATTTTCAAGTTAACGTCGTGCATGATGCATGCTTGCAATGTAAAATTAATGGTTGGGGGTCTCTCCCTCTCTCTCTCTCTCTCTCTCTCTCTCTCTCTCTCTCTCTCTCTCTCTCTCTCTCTCTCTCCTTCTCCCCCTCTCTCGCCTTTGCGGTAGATCCCTTAATTATGTAGCAAGTTTATTTTTTCTCGGTAATCTTCGATTCTTAGCCCCATTTAATTTTTAGCGCCCCGCGCGTGAAATTCGGGTAATATACGATACGGTATACGGTAATAAATATACGATCTATACCATATACCATATATACGATCTATATACCATATATACGATCTATATACCATGTATACGATCTATACCATATATCGTGTTTCGTATTTTGGTGTCTTGCATGGCTGCATGTTGTTGAATTTCATTTCCTGATTCATATGTGGTGACATGTTATACATATTACATTACTACCCGAATTTCACGCGCGGGGCGCTAAAAATTAAATGAGGCTAAGAATCGAACATTACCGAGAAAAAATAAACTTGCTACATAATTAAGGGATCTAAACTATAAACTAAACTAGGACACCAAACTAGGACACCAGACTACTTACCATATTAACGACACCATACTAAGTACTAACGACAGCTATAGCAAAGCACCAAGAAGTAATCAATATATATAAGGTCTTGTCAGCCATGCCACGTTGCACGTTCACTACTAGCTCTATAGAACTATGGCTCTTAATTCGCTCTACCACAGGCCTGTGCCAGAGCGAAGGGCTAGTTCTAGAGCTAGTTCGCCCACTACGTGCACGGGGAGTAACGGGCACAAAAGCTGACTCGGCCAACCCTCCCCCCCCCATACACACACACATACACCACTATCACCCAACCCCAACCCCACCGCACCCCCAAACCACGACGATCGAACGACAAAGATCTGGGGGAACCGGTCCGCGTGTATTCGCCCATAGTTACAGACCCCCAATTGTTACTAGAGACGCGGGTACTTGATAGTGTGTGATCACGATCCATGCTTGGTATATATAGTTAGATATATAGCTCTATACTGGTTTAGACCTTGGCTACACGGTTGCACGGACAGAGCTAAGTGGTTATAGTCTAGACCTATGGCAATATGTCCACGGCCATTTATATGATATGATGTGTGTGTGTGTGGTTGTGTGAGCGTGTGTGTGCGTGCGCGTGTGCGTGTGTGTGTGCGTGCGCGCGCGTGTGTGTGTGTGTGTGCGTGTGTGTATACCACATTACATAGCCCTTCCAACCGCTCTCTCTCAACCGCAGGCGCTACAATAACTACACGAGCTTAGACCTATATATTATTAGCGCTACAATCATTAGTTATTTAACATCCGTGTTTCCCTCGCACGGGAGATCGAGAGAACGCACGCACGCACGCACGCACGCACGCACGCACGCACACACGTACAGAGCAGACGAGAGCAGTTGTCGTCGGAGGCGCACGTCTCGTAGCAACCACAGTCGCCGTTGATGCAGCGTGGCACCAGGTGGCGCTTCCACGGCAGATCCAGCATGCGCCGACACACGCGCACGCAGAACAGCCGACAATCCAGGTCCGCGGTACAGGAGGCGTCCGTCTCTGCGGAGTGATCAATAAGCATCGATTCATTGATGTCGTTATCGATCAATCAGTCGATGTATTAATTGGGCGATTAAACGGATAAATGGACGGACGGAAATACGGACAGACAGACAGACTGACAGATAGACAAAAAGACAGACAGATAAGCATGCAGATAGACACAGACGAGGGTAGTCAGATATATAAATAAATAAATAAATAAATAAATAAATAAATAAATAAATAGATAGATAGATAGATAGATAGATTTATTGTATTTGACGAAGGCGCGCATTTTTACATCATCTGGGCCAAGGTTGAGGTTGGGGTCAATTTCACGAACTAATACTCCAACTCTAATACTCCAACTAATACCCCAACTAAGCCAAACCCCCTTCCATACCATTCCCAGCTAATGCCACGAAAATTGCGGGAAGGATTCCTTTGTTGAGAATACGAATTTTTTTCGCGCGAGACCCTAGCAATAGCGATTCTAAAACAGGATTTGTGTGGAGGAGGATTGTGGCCAGGATTTTGTTGATTTGGGTCAGTTCACATGCATTCCCTAACTACATCGGCAGGGCCAGATAACGCCAAAAAGGCCAAGAGGCTTAAGAGCATTTTCGTGTATCCGTCATATCGTGTTAACTTATTAGCAGCCATCTTTGTTCGTCGGTAACCATATTTGGACATCGGCGTATTTATTGTGATCCGTAGCGAAACAATTCATACGAGGGACTCGGAGGGAGGGAGCCGTTGTCAAAGACGCCATAAACTGTTAATACCATCAAGAGTCTGAATGTTAACAACTCAGTCTCTCTCTCTCTCTCTCTCTCTCTCTCTCTCTCTCTCTCTCTGCTTCTCTCTCCTCTCTCTCTACTCGTCTCTCCTCTCTCATCTCGTCTTTCTCTCTCTCTCTCCTCTCTCTCGCTCTGCTCTCTCTCTGCTCTCTCTATATAGTCATATATATATATATATATATTATCACATATGCATATACGGTATATGATAGCGTCTGTCTTTCTTGTTGTCTGGACGGATCGCTCTGTCCGTTTTCCGTTCATTCATTCATCCATTGGTCATTCGATTCCACGAAGCGCGACTATTACTGCTGGTTGTGCGTCCTTCGTCGTGGCAGATGAGGAGGGAATACTGCCATCAAAATTACACTCCGTGATTGCACAGCATAAACTACCGAATCAGGGATCTCCCCCCCCCCACACACACACACACACACACACAACACACACACACACACACACACACACCACACACACACACACACACACAACACACCAGGAAACGAGTTTCTGTGGCACCTTGCTGGATCTCGCATACGAACGCCACGCATTAACACTAGTCTTACTCCTTTGATGGACTGGTGTGTCGTGTGTGCCGTATTATAGTAATTACAATCCCACCCCCCTTGTTTTTGGGCCACACGATAGATATGCCAAACAGCACCGCTTTGGCACGCTCATAATCAATTTTTATTACCCGTACTATATATATACCGGGCTCGCGTACAATGGCAACGCCATTGATTAACAGAAACGGATTGCCATCCATTTGTCGTGCCATCGTTTATTGTTGTGTGTGGATATGGTGAACATGCATCTGAATAGTGGTGTGTCGCCTTATTAGAGATTACTATATATATACGTATATATATATATCCAGGCGCAGCTGTGTTGGGTAAAGGGCGGGATGATGAACGACAGCCTAGTATATAGCTGCTTATATATAACAAACATACATCTAACCGAATGCGGTCTGCCACACCTCGACAATCGAGTCACCACGGTCAATGTGCGGGGAGCTATTTTCGGTACCCTGCAGGGCAGAAATTTTTTGAGCGTTTGAAAAGGGATCATTAAGACCTGCATGACTGGAGTGTGGAGATCGTTGACGTGATGTGTGATGTGTGTGTGTGTTGTGTGTTGCTGGCGTGTGTTGTGTGATGTGGTGTTCTATGATAATTCAATGGGCATGTTGATTTCTAAAAAAAAATAAGTGTGTTTGCGGTGAGCCTGTGATTGTGGTCGTGAGTCGGGGCGACCATCCTCAGTTGTGTGGTGTAAAAGAATATTTGAAAAAAAATTCCTAGGAGTTTGGAATACTTGTGTGGCGCTGACTCGTGTGGCGCGCACGCACGAAATAGAGTGACCGTATGTGAATTAGATATATCTATTTGAACACGATGGTTTATATTGATCACTCAATAACCTTTATTTTGACATTTTATTCGATCAACACACCTTAGCCTGTCTGTTGCCTGGTGATATTGTGTGGCGTGTGTGTGGTGTGTGTTGTGTGTGTGCGGGAGTGCTGTGGTGTGCTGGTTTGGTGTGTGTGTGTGTTGTGTGTGCGTGTGCGTGTGCGTGCCGGTGGCGTGCGTGGCGTGCTGGTGCGTGTGTTTGCTGTCGTGTGCTGTGTGTGGTGGCTGTGTGTGTTGCCTCTGTGTTGTGCTGGGTGTGTGTGTGTTGCAGTGCGTGTGTGTGTGTGGCGTGCTGTGTGGTGTTGGTGCGTGTGTTGGTGTGCTGTGTGTGTGTGGTCGTGTGTGCGTCCGTGCGTGTGCGTGTGCGTGTGTGTGTGTGTGATGTGTGTGTGTTGTGTGTGTGTGTGTGTGGTGTGTGTGCTGTGTGTGTGTGTGTGTGTGTGTGCATGTGTGTGTGTGTGTTGTGTGTGTGTGTGTCGGGTGTCTGCTGGTGTGTAGTGTGTGGTGTGATCGATCGTGCGGCTCGCCGCTGTGCCCTGTGTGACGCCTGCGTGTGGGTGTGTGTGTGTGTGTGTGTGCTTGTGTGTGTGTTGATCTCGCTCGTGTGGATAGTGTGTTGCTGGTTTATGGTGTATGTGTGAGCGCGATGGCGAAGCGAGAGAGACGGAGAGAGAGAGAGAGACACACACACACACACACAAACACACAGGGAAATAAGACATGATGTATAAGGCATAAATCTATAGTGTGGCATGTGATGTTAATGT